ATCAAAAGGGAGGTTTCTTTCTCCTGGCCTGTATTGTCCCTTGATTCCAGAACCCAAACAACCCCCCCCTCCCCCCAAAGGTTTGAATGTGGTTGATCCCAAATGAGTCAAGGTTCTGTTAGGCTATCTTCATCCAGGTTTACATCTTGTTTCTCTTTTTTTCCCTCCAGTGTGCTAGGCAGATCTTCTCTTTGCCCTGGCTGCCTCAGTTTCTCTAAGCCCCCGTTGCCCTCAGTAGAACCGTCCTTTCCTCTTCCTGGTTAGTAGCTGTTGGGTGGGACCTGATCTTTCCTTCCCTGATCCTAGCTCCCAGGCTCACAGGGATGACCTCTATTACGCCACCACCTGCTACTAAGCTCTCCAGACGTGCTGGGATGCTTCTAGTGATGTTCCACAAGGATTCAGTCAGAGAGGATCCTCAGCTTCATCCATTTACTTTCTTGGTTCAGTTGCCTGGTCCCTGCTCTAGGAGATGCCAAACATTGCACCTTTTTTCAGTGTTTCCCTTTAAACTTCCCAGTCTTCCCTCCAGGCCTATTAAAGCCGGCTCCCCGGGGCACATGTTCTTCGGCCCCAGGTGCCTGCCTGATTTCCCAGACTTCCCCTTGTTCTCCGGTGTGCCGGGGACACACAGTTTGTCCAGACTCACCCTGGTAAGTTTCCAGCCAGCTCGGGTGGCTCCACGGGAGTCTATCAGAGGCCGGTTGTCGGCACCTGCTACAGGCACACAAGTGGAATGAGGTGTCTATGTGTGATTCTGTTCCTCCCTGTTCAGATCCCTGAGAAATTGTTAAAACAAAAGGCGGGTGGTTTGTCCTTTTGGTTGTTTAGTCTGAAACTTAAAAGTAAGGTACTGGTTGTTACAGACATGTATGCATTCATGGATTTTTCAGAAGTGAAATAAAATTTCACTTAAGCACCTAAGTTAGGGCGCAGCAGCCTACAGCCCCTGAGCTGGATCTAGCCTAGGAAGTATTGGGGCAACACAGAAAATCAGGTAGCACATAGCCCACACTGCTGCTCTTCTCATGTCTGTGTTTACCTCTGTGCAGTGTGGGAAGTGCGGAGAGCTTTAGCTGTCTGGAAATGGAGATTTGCATCTGGGAGTCAGGTCCCAAGCTCTGGCCCAAGACAGCAAAAAGGTTGCTGATCCTTGGCTTAAAACCACTTAGAATATAATCTGGCTCTGTATATGAATTTCATGTGTGAATGTTTCTTGGAGCCAGATTCTGACATTCATATTCACGCTTAGTAAATAAATTACTTGTAAAGTTAATCAAAATGTCTGTATAGTGAATATAATACAATAAAGTAGTGTAAATATATGTGTAGTTGCAGATTATTCTATATAGAAAAGAAATAAACTACATAAGACTAAGGCATACTTACGCTGCTCTTTATGCTAGTATAGCTGCATTCACACTAGAGGTTGTATTAATATATAAGTATGGAGGATGTCAAAGCAGCTTCTAGAACTTCAGAAGTGGCAGCCAGATCATCAACAATGACACAGTTTGTACCGGGTCAAGTGTACTGTTTGTGGTGATGTGCATACTTTCATATAGCTGAAGATCACACTATAAAATAACAGTTATGTTCCCTAACCCTGTGTAAATCAAGGTAAGTAATAGTTAAAGAATCCAACCTTCACTCTATATAAAATTAAATTCACAATACCTACTTTTAAGATATTTATTATATTTGTCTAAAAATGAATTTCAGCATTGTTTAAGACACTGGATTGAATCCATGTTCATTTTTGAAATTTTTAAATAATCAGTTTATTGTCCATGGTGCAAAAAAATTGGTTATTTTAAGGGATAGAAAGTACATTCCATATGAGGAAAAAGTATCTTCAGAATGTATAAACAGAAATAAAACATTTTACAACTCCACCAATAAGCTCTGGGATGAAAGGAACCCTGTCATTTTGACTTGATAATATTTTCAGAAAATGGAGAAAACCTAAAGATGAGTGCATAATGACAATCTCATAATGCTTATTTTTTAATTATTACTTCTGTTTCTTTTTAATATATTTTTTAGGGTGGTGCTTAAAAAAAGTAAACATAAATTTGATGTTTTTAACTGTGCCAAAAATGTACATAAATAGAAGCGATGCTTTCAGATGTTTGGAAATTCTTAACTAAACTTTAGTTGTTTGAAAAGCAGAAGAAAGCATAAAAATATGAGGCCCAGGTTCTGATATCAGTACACTATAGTTTTAAAGTAGTCTACTGACAGCTAAATTATTTCTGCAATATTAAGTAGCTTGAACATTAAGTAGAATTTGGAAGCTGTTTTAAGTATGTTACAGTGGAAATATTTTACTGTGTTTTTTGGTGTTTTTTGAGTATCATCTCCACATTTTAAACTAAACCCACAGTACTGGGCAGCCATACTTTCCAGGTTAGTGAAATTAAGCATTGTGCTCAAACACCTAAGTTAACAACTGTGCATGATTTAGCACATATCAACTGTTCATTTGGGAGCATATACCTTTTTGTAGGTGTGAGGACAAATTATTCTTGCAAACCTAAAGGTGAACTAATTAGCTACCAATTTGTAGAGATCTCAGTTTAACACAATTGATTCTTTTTTTATCTGATTAAAGTGTATTCTACAATGTTGATTCTTATTTCTGTACTCATTTTAAGGTTTAAAATATGGCATTAAAAACTTTCAAAAGAAAATTCAGCAGAAATTCAAACTGTGGGGAAGAAGTGGTTTCCATGGAAAAGCATGGGGAATGGGAAATAGGATGATTAACAAGAAACTGTCACTTTCTCTCAGAACAAAAATCCTTTACTTGCTCTTCTAGTTGGTGATTTTAAATAGGATCATAGATCTGTTTGTTTATTTTAATCTCCCTTTTGAGTCTATTGCAATAAGGCAATGACCTATGTTCATTGACCAACTGGATCAAGTGTCTTTTTTTATACATAAATGACAAACCACATCAGTAGTTTTAGGGCATGTAGATGGAGGATGTCAAAGTTGATTCTAGAACTTCAGAAGTGGCAGCAGCAACATCAATATTACAATTTGTAGAGGGACAAATGTAACATTTGTAATGAAAAACAGTTTGAATCACTAAATCGATATAAATTAAGGCATAGAAAAATAAACTAAAGTGGAAGTTCAAATATAAAAAAATGAAAACAAGGAAAAGTACTTTTCTGAAATACAGTTGCAAGTTTTTCCCTTAACATTGATATACTGTACTACTGTGGTCAGAAACAAGAGTTTTAGGTTCAAGACTTCAGGCAACCAAATACAAAAGTGGGAACACGTGCTTAGTTTTTGCTGAAGGGGCAGCTGTCAACAAAATTGCTAATATTAGGCCATCTACAAAGGCAGTCTTTCGCTGCAGAGTACTGACCTTGGAACTAGAAGAAATTGTTTGGTTGGATGATGTCTAATCTGAAAGCAATGAGGTAAGGCCTGGTTTGAAATGAGTTGAAAATGAGGAATCCAAAATGTTTTTTTATTCTGGGTGGTATAATCTGGTTCCTTAAATGTTAATGTTAATCTAATGCTTTTTGCGAAATGCAAAAATATGGGTGGGAGGGGGAATTGAGGTCTGTACATTTATTTGCTTCTACTGTACCACTTTAACAAGAAGAAATATTAAATTACTGGAAAACTACATAATTTAAGTTTTAAGTTTCATTTAATTTATGTGATACTTTTTGTGGACTAAATGCAGAAGTCCACTTTAGCGATACAGTGTAGAACTTGTTTAGAAAGTAAAAATGTAATTCTTTCTCCATAGAAATGAATATAATTTTCTGGAAAAGTGAGGTACCTCATGTTTTAATATTCTTGACACAAAGTATTGCTAATTGTTTAGCAGGACTTGATGGTCTGTTCATTAGAAATGTTCTGAACGGCAAAAATTCTGGACCATTTTGTTGAAAATATAAACTGAAAGAAGAGACAGATGATTTTATGAGACTACATCAATGATTTTTAACTTGCATTATAACACTAGCTTCTCTGAAATCAGTGGATTACAAGGTTCATCTTTATATATACGTATACTTGATACAATTTTTTTTTAAATCCATGTAATTGGTAAGTTCGATAGCACCCCTCTTTTTCAGAATTTGTAGAAGCTTTTTCCCCGTTACTTCATTCTGCAAAAAACTGTCTTTACTTTGATACAAGTATGCCCTTTTCCTAGTTTAATGGCTAAGTGGGTTTAAGCAAAAGCCAGAAACACTTTCCTCGTACTCTTCCAGAACTAATGTCCATGAGTCATACCTATATAACTGTAAATAGGACAAGTTTTCTTTGTAGGTGAAATTATCGCTCTTTCATGACTGTCACTGAGCAACTTGTTTTCCAGTGAATTTGCCATTTTCTTCTGACACTGGGAAGTGCTTTTATTAACATGGGGTGCGAGTATTCATAACATTACTGAAAATATAGAGTTATGATTTAAGAGATTTTTCCCATTAAAAAAAAGAAAAGTAAAAATATAAGGAGAAAAGGAAGGGTTTTTGACAGGTTTTTTTGGGTGGGCGGGGTTCCCTCTAATACCATTATGGTAAATCATATTGCATCTCTCTATCTCAATGCAAAAATATCATGTAATTTGCCATCATAAGTTTCCTTAAGTTCCAGCTTTTCTCATGAAATTTAATGTATATTGCAGACTGTATCAAACTCTTAGGTTTAACTTTCTACTTTTGCATATATAACTGTGTTGTGATTTTGTTGCATTCACTAGGTTTGCTGGGATGGGTAATCTTCTTAAAGTCCTTACCAGGGAAATTGAAAACTATCCACATTTTTTCCTGGATTTTGAAAGTAAGTTCAAAGAATTACAGGATAATGATAGAATCTTTTCCCTAATTATACAGTTGGTTGAGGAGGAACCCTTTAAATGTGATTTATAGTATACAGGTACCAGCAGACCGTGGCTCTCCAAAATGATGCATCTAATATTATTCATTTGCTCAGAGCTCCTTTTCTTTTCCTTTTCTTTTTTTCAGGAACCAAATGGGAAATCTTTTAAAAGTTCTCACTTGCACAGAACTTGATCAGGGGCCAAATTTTTTCCTTGACTTTGAAAGTGAGCAAACTTCTTGCCTGGCTTGCCTTCTTCTCCTGTCTCCTCTCCCCCCCCCCGAATAAACTGCATGAATTTTTATATCACAAAATAATTCAAAAGGGATTTGCAAACAAAGTAACTTACACTTCAAATTTGATATTGAATTCTTGTAGCCGTAAAATATCTTCTTGTAATATCATTAAAAACTTTTTGGCAGAAAATGTGAGACATGATATTTAAGAGTGATTCTTGTCTCGACTGGTTTCAAGACATTATTGTTGATTTAACACAGAAAACTTATTTTTACAAGTAATCTTTACTGTCTTAAACTTGCTTTAAGTGTTAAAAAATTAACACACATTTCTCTGTCCTCTTATCAGATGAAAGTGTGTGTCTTTTTTAATATACTCAACAGTATGTATTAGAACGACAATCTAAATAGTTCAAAAATGACATTTTGCATTGTTCAAAATCCATTTAACTGATTTTTTTTTTCAATTTAAAAAAGTGAATAATGTGGTCATAGTGTATATGCTTGATTGCATTTCTCTTAAGTGCATGTCTATCAGCTTGAGAAACTTTCTGATCACATCTATAGCTGAGGAAAGCTAATTTCAGTTTATTTGACTATTCCTGCATGTACTCTAGACTTTCTTTTGAAATCTAGCCATCAAATTCTGAAACATGGCTTAAATCAGTGTGCTCTGCTACTTATACAAAATACCTTTTTTAAATGCTAACAATATATGTTGTCTTGGCTGATGTCATAATACCTTTTATTTGAAATATTCCAAATGCATTTCTGGCAGCAATTAAATTTAAATATAAACTTCTGTCGAGCTCTTTTGGGAGAGCCACCAACTTAATCTGAAAACATCCCTTTAAACTAAGTCCAAATGTCCTTTTACCTTGAAATAATCTTTAAAGAATTTGATACTTGCTTGTTTTACAATTTTTTTTTAGTAATAGGGAAAATTGTGTGTTGTGCATGTTATTAAATCTGGATTCAGGAGATTGCTAAATAAAGATGACATAAGTATGTGCTTAAGCAAACAGCTTGAGTGTTGTTTCCTGGATTGGGTCTAGCGCTTTTAAATACAATTTGTTGGAGCCAATGATAATTTTCCCATTCTGATTCTAATTTTACTTCAGTATGAAGAATCCATTATAAACTACTGACAGATTAATTTGAGGCACAGTGAAATGATTTGCTTTATCAGTCTTGTATTCTTTTCTTCTTTGTTTATATAACTATTTTTTTTTTACAGAAAAAAACTGGGGTTTTGAACCCTTATTCCAGACGACATGCTTATTTTATCTATCAACATTTAGAGAGTTAAATAAGTACTCTAGCATCCCAATCTGTTTCTAAGATTTTTACTGTTTGGGAGCTATACTGTTTAATTAGTCCCATTGTGTCACATCCTGAAAGCAAGTATGTGCTGCACAAGAAGGCATATTTGGCAAGAAACAAGTGGTTTGGCAGTAGAATGCCTTGGAGTTGATGGTAGTAGGATGCTATTTTAGCATTTGGGTTATAAATATTGGATTTTCCCTAAGCACATTGCAAGCAAGAATTAAAATGGAGTGATTCTGAGGGCACCTGCTCCTCAAGGAAGGTGACAGGCAATTAGTATAGGTCCATGCATATCTTATTTTAATGCATCCAACAATGGGAGGATCTAAAGTGACTAAATGCATGATGAGTTTGAGATTCCTGAGGGAAGTGGTAAATGTGTGTTGCAATTTTATTATTATTATTATTATTCACATAAGACATTTCATAATGCTGTGGGGTGATTTCTGTAACGTGTTGTGGATTAATCTGCACATTCTCATGCTTTCATATACTTTAATATTAAAAGAAAGCTCTTGAACTGATTTGTATGAATATGAGTTGTACCTCAGGATTTGCTGGAATGGTTTGGTAACTTCCTATATACTTAAGTTTTCCAGTTCTAGGTTTAAGTTACTTAAAGCTTAGTTAAAATGGGCACATTTAGAAATCTACCTTCAATATTTCCAAATTATTTCTTAAAATTTCTGAATCGTTTGAAGGGGACCAGCACACTACAAAAACCTCCTGTGGTTCCTGAGAGTGCCCATTGTTTTGGGCTTGAGCAGTGATCAGATTTTTGATACACATTGAAATGAAAGACCAGCTTTATTGGGAACATCCTAAAGTAGGGAGACCATCCTGTAAGTCCATCATCTTTCATCTTCCCAGTGTCAACCATTGTCATGCTTGTGGGCATGCCAGTGATTTCGTTGCACACCTGCCTCGTTAACACAGATGATCAACAGTAAAGAAATCGTGAACACTTTTGAAGCTAGTGTATGTATGTAGTGTCTTTCATAGTTTCATATTTGTTAGGGTCGTAAGGGACCTTAGCAGATCATCAAGTCCAACCCCCTGTGATGACAGGACAAAGTACTGGGGTCAAATGACCCCAGCAAGGTGTTCATCTAACCTCCTCTTAAAGACCCCCAGGGTAGGAGCTGGCACCACTTCTCTTGGAAGTTGGTTCCAGATGCTAGCCGCCCTGACGGTGAAGTCGTGCCTCCTGATGTCTAGTCTGAATCTACCCTCTGCCAGCTTGTGACCGTTATTTCTAGTCACTCCTGGTAGTGCTCGGGGGAACAGGGACTCCCCCAATGCCTGCTGGTCCCCTCTGGCTAGTTTGTAAATGGCCACTAGATCCCCCTCAGCCTTCTCTTCTGGAGGCTGAACAGGTTCAGGTCCTGTAGTCTCTCCTCATAGGGCCTGCCCTGCTGCCCCCTGATCATACGAGTGGCCCTCCTCTGGACCCTTTCCATGTTGTCCACATCCCTCCTGAAGTGCGGCGCCCAGAACTGGACACAGTACTCCAGCTGCGGCCTGACCAGTGCCACATAGAGGGGGAGGATCACGTCCTTGGAGCTGCTTGAGGTGCATCTGTGGATGCATAACAAGGTGCGGTTGGCCTTCCTGACTGCGTCCCCACGCTGCCGGCCCATGTTCATCTTGGCATCAACGATGACTCCAAGATCCTTTTCTGCCTCGGCACTGACGAGAAGGGAGTTCCCCAGCCTGTAGGTATGCTGCTGGTTCTTCCTCCCCAGGTGCATCACCTTGCACTTGTCAGTGTTGAAACCCATCCTGTTCTCATCCACCCACCCCTGTAACCTGTCTAGGTCTGATTGCAGCCTATTCCTCCCTTCTAGCGTTCCCCACATCCACCCACATCTTAGTGTCGTCTGCAAATTTCAACAGGGTGCTTTTTACTCCCTCGTCCAAGTCGCTGATGAAGATGTACTTTAGCACTTATTTCTATGTTTAGATGATTGAAGTTCTTGAAGTGAGGCTTTTAATTGCTTAATTGCAACATAGAACCTCACTTCTGATGTTGTCCTACATATTGGACATGTTATGTTTTGAAAGTGCTGGTTAGACATTTAGTACTATTAGATCTTTTAATTGTTCAGTTTAAAATGATTTCTTCAAATGTATTTACAGAAAGCCAAACCAGTTCAGTTGTACTCATGTTTAGTTAAACATTTAAGTTTACAAGGGTCTAGCATATGTATTCTCTTTGATTACCAGCGCTGGTATGCGTTTTGTTTGGGACAACTGCATTCATGTGATCTTGATAATTTGTTTTTGATACCTGCCTTCTGGTAATATTAGTAGAATGGCAGGTTTTTTAATTCATTTACCCCTTTGTATTTTGTTCTCTATTTCTGTCTTCGGCTTGGGTCAGCTTTTCTTTGCTGATCTGCCAATTTGTTTTGGGCATTGAGACATCTTGGTAGTAGCAGAGACTGATGATAATAGTCATCAGTTAGTTCCAGTGTCCTCCCCATACCAAATACATGATAGTGTTTAGAGTGATTGTGACCATGTTGAGTCTTGCAGTACTCCATATGTTCACAACTGGCTGGTAAAGGGCTAATTTAAATTTATCTGGGTTCTGCTTGATAGAACAGTAGATCAACTAGTGCACTGTGCCATTTACACCTTTCCCATTTACAATCTTGTATACCTCTCAGCACAGGGTGACAAATGTTATCCAATTCCAGAGAACAGATATAGTAATATATCCATAACTTACTTTATTCTTCCAAAGTTTTCTGTGACTTTGAATAAACAGTGAATTCAAACAGAGCCATTTTGGTGTTGTCCTGGTTGGAAACTGGATTAGGATGAATCCAGAGAATCTTTTCTTTCAGAAGTTGGCAAAGAAAAGATATTAATTGGGTGTTAATTTTATGAAGAAAAGGGAGATTGGAATCAATATACAAACTAGGTTCTGATTAATGTTTCTTCCTCCTCTGTCTAGCACTGGTGAGGCCACATCTGGTGTACTGTGTCCAGTCCTCCCCCCCCCCC